GAACGACGACTATCTACTGCTAACTCTTAACCTCTTAAAATCCATTATAAACTTTCTAATACCATAATTTGTCATCAAAATGCTGAATTCAAAACTTCTTTTGTCGTAGTTCGTGACATGCAACAAAATATGATCCTAGGGACACCTTTTCTGAATCTTTTAAAACCTTTTACCATCACCGACCAGGGAATTAATACTGTTATGTTAGGCAATAATGTTAACTTCTCATTTCTGCAAAACCAAAAGTACGAAACCTAAGGCCCCATTTAGTATAGTTTTCAACCGGTTGTGTTTTAAAGAGGTTGTGCTAACAGAGAAACAACAACAACAACAACAAAACAAATAAAATCGACAACATGTTTAGTTCAAAAAATGACAATTGTGAAACACTAAAAAACAAAAATAAAAAACACGTTTACTTTCATTCTTGTTTGAACACAACCCCAAATTTCCTTTCTTGTTTCGTCGTATGAGGACCCGTTTTTGTGTTGGGGGATTTTAATTGCTTGCTCTCTAGTTGTGAGAAGCAGGGAGGGCGCCCTCCTATAGCAGTATCCCTTGAACAACTTAACCATTTCTTGACTGCAAGGGTTCTCCATGACCTGGGTTTCATTGGCCCTCCTTCCACATGGTCAAACCGGCAATCCAATGGTGATCATATCCAATCACGCCTAGATCGTTATTTGGCTAAAAATCTTGTGTTGTCTTTGTGGCCAGCATTGCAGGTTCATCATCTTTCTGACCGGGGATCAAATCATAGGATGCTACTACTACGATCTGTGAAGCCTACTGACCGACGAGCTAGGAGATTTCAATACGACCTTCGGTGGAATTCCAATCTTGATGTTCCGCCTTTAATACACGCAGCATGGCATCAACTAGTTGGTGGCACTCCCCTTTTCCGGGTTCAAACACAGCTAAAACGTACCCGTCATGAGCTACTTGGGTGGGCAAAAGCGGGGATGAACAACTCAGCTCGTCAAATCAGGGAATTGCAAGGGGCCATTGACATAGCATGGGAGGCTACTGCTGTAGATTGGAACGAGATAATTAGGCCGGAAATTCAATTGACAGAAGCCTATAGACAGGAGGAGTTGTACTGGAAACAGAAGTCACAAAACAATTGGTTACAAGGTGGAGACGCAAACACACACTTCTTCCACCTAACCACGATGCAACATAGGAGAGATAACATCATCCCAGCTCTTCGTGATGCTCAAGGTGATTTGCAAACTAAAGAAACTGCAAAAGGGGAAGTCTCAGTTTCTTATTTCCAATTTCTGTTTACATCTAATTGGATCACTATTAAGATCACTTCTGCCAGGAATGACATGCTTACTGCCCAGGTCCCTCACTCTGAAATCAAACATGCCATTTTCACCATAGGGAAGCACCAAGCCTCGGGCTCCGACGGTTTTACTGCGAGATTCTATCACCGATTTTTGGAAGAGATAGGTTTGGATGTCTCAGAGGCAATCTCATCCTTATTTCGAATAGGCCGCTCCTCCATAGTGTCAACCACACACTACTTACTCTGATTCCAAAAGTAGCCAACGCAGATTCCATGAAGCAAATGCGTCCCATTGGGCTGTGCCAAGTTCTGTATAAGGCTATCTCTAAAATCCTTTCTAACAGGCTGAGTTCTCTCTCACGTTATTAGTCCGTTTCAAAATGTTTTTGTCAAGGGAAGGTGTATCTCGAATAACATCCTCATTGGCCAAGATGTGATGCAGTTTCTAAAAACCAAGGTTCGAGGACCTGACAAATGGATGGTGCTCAAACTCGACATGGAAAAAGCGTATGATCATGTGGAGTGGGAGTTCCTGTTTCAAGTTATGGAAGCTATGGGATTTTGTGAGCAATGGATGAGGTGGATCAAGGCCTGTATTACCACTGTTCGTTTCTCGGTTCTCCTCAACGGCACTGAGTATGGTTACTTTCAGCCACAATGCGGAATCCGTAAAGGCAAACCACTACCACCACTACTGTTTGCTATATACACGGAAGCTTTCGCAGCAAAAATCAACCAAGGTGTCGCGGCCTATTCACTCCATGACTTACGGATACACATGTCTGCTCCTTCCCTCTCGCATCTATTTTTCGCCGATGATTCATACCTTTTCCTTCGAGCTTCCATTCCTGAATGCGCTGTATTACTTCAACTACTCTCTGATTATGAAAGTTTTAGCGGGCAACAGTTTAACTTACACAAATCTGTTTGTGTAAGTTGAAATGTTTCAGAACATGAACCCTTTGCTCTCAGCTCATATCTATGAGTAGCTATTATGAATCCCCATGACAGGTACCTATTCCTTCCGTCCCAAATTCGACGATCAAAGGCACTATCCTTCCAATTCATAGAGGAAGACTTGGCAAACCGGATTCGTAGTTGGAAGAGTAAGGCCATGTCGCTGGCAGCAAAGGAAGTAGTTATCAAGGAGATTGGGGCTGCTGGACCGGTCTATGCCATGTCTGCTTTTAGATTACCACAGGAAACTTGTCGTAGATGTAATAGTCAGCTCTCTAAATTTTGGTGGGCAGGGCAGGATAAAGAGAATGGAATTCGCTGGGTGTCTTGGAGTGCTATTTGCCAGAGTAAGTTTGCTGGTGGGTTAGGTTTCCGTGACTTTAACCGTTTCAATGTTGCTCTGCTAGCTAAGCAGGCCTGGCGCATTCTATGCACCCCATCCAGACACATTGCGAGACTCTATAAGTCCCGATATCACCCCCAAACTAGCTTTCTTGAAGCTATGATAGGATCCCGACCGTCATGGGCGTGGCAAGGAATCTTGGACGGAAGGAATTTACTTAAAAGGGGACTGTGATGGCAGGTTGGAGATAGATCCAGCATCCGAATCCTCCATGACAGTTGGCCGCCCACTTCGCCCCCTTCATGCCCGGTTTTACACCTAGGTTTGAGCTCTCATCCTTCCTTTGTTTCTGAACTCATTTGCTCTGAATCGCACTCCTGGAATGTTGATCTGCTACACTCTCTCTTCACCCCGGAGAGTGTTGAGCTGATTTTAACCATTCCACTGCTCGTTTCAGTTTTGAATGATTGTTTGATATGGCACTATGATACATCTGGCGTCTACTCAGTAAAAACAGGTTATCACTTGCTAAAGGCTGAACATAATCTTCGACATCCTCCTGAGTTTCTTCCATTTGACACCCGTTTTTGGAAGTTGCTTTGGAGCTTTCTGATGCCACCGAAACTGAAGTTCTTCTTTTGGAGGGCTGTTCGGGGGTTCCTACCACTGCAGATTGTGTTGTTTACTAAGACATTGGTCTCTAACACAACCTGTCCCATTTGTTCAGAGGCATTTGCAGGGTGGCGAGAGGTTTATGGAGAGCGGCAAATCTTGAGGAAGAAGCAACTTGCTTGGTGGAATGGCCCCGGAAGATGCTTGGAATCACTTATTCTTTTCTATGAACTTGTATAAAGTTGACTTAGCTGATGTTGTTTTCCTTTTGTGGCAAATCTGGAAGGGTCGATGCTAAGCAGTTCATGGACATATCCAATACTTACCCTTGACTTTATTCTGACAATATCGACGACAAGTGGAGGAGTGGCGAACAACAGAACAAGCTTCTCTTGATCGCTGTGGAAGGGGAACTGCACACTCCACCAGATCTGTTCCCCGCAGTATTGGAGGTAACAGTCCAGATTCTGCTGCCACCTCTTCAAACACTATCAATGTATGGTTTGATGGTGCGATAAAGCGTGGCCAAGGAGGAAGCATTGGCTATGTAAGGCCTTCAAGCGTCAAGTAATGTGTTCTTTGCATTCGGAAAATGACATGATGGGATACATGATCCGTTTATCATGGAATGTTTAGCCTTACGTGATGGCCCATTTTAGCCCGGAAATATAGAAAGAGTCATTATATTATACTTATCCTGATAAATTATATCAAATCTCATCTAACATATGAGTAATAACATATAACATTACACCAAAGTAACATGTCGTACTTAGACCCATCATATAGTGAAAATTCACACACTTATATAACAGCAATATTCAAATGTTCACCTAAGGATTCCAAAGATTGAGTTAGGCGAAAAGAAAAATTGGAAAATAGGCGCATTTCGCAAACCAAAGAAAAAAATGACACAATTTGACCTCCAACCCGATGCCTTATAGCGGTCAACCCGATAAGTGCGTGCGACCCGTTTTTCTCATCCGATCAAGGTCAAAGTGGGTCGACCCCGCGGATTAGCAATTCTCAAACTTTAAGTGGTAGTTGAGGAAATACCCCTTCATTTAGCCATTTACAAGAGCGCGTGGTTAGGGATGGCAATGGGTCAGGTTGGGTCGGGTTTCGCCAAACTCAAACCCAAACCCATGGGTTTATCCGTAAAAAAAAAACCCGGGGTAAAATCCACTAGGTTTGAAGAACTCAAACCCAACCCAACCCGCTGGGTATCCGCGGGTTCATGGGTACCCACGGGTTTTTGTCGTAAAAAATTCACAATAACAAGTTCCTATTAAAATTAAAGTCAAATATCAATCTCTCAATACAAATTATCCATATATAAAACACCATTCTAGAAAATTCAATAAAATTGAAACAAATCACAAATTATCCATAAATAACATGATTAATTGAAAGCTTCTTCCTTTCAACTAAGTTTTTCAATCTCCACACGATAGCATCAACTTCATTCTACACAACTATAAAGAAAAAAAATTAGACATACCTCCACAAATATAAATAAGATTAGTTGTTTAGAATATTAAATATACCGAGAAAATTAATTATATGGGTGTGAGCGGGTACCCATGGGCCGGGTTTACCTAAACCCAAACCCAACCCGGTGAATAATGAACGGATTTAAATCCAAACCGGGCCCAAAACCCGTCAACGCGGATTTTACCCGCGTTGACCGGATTAGGTCGGGTGGGTGCCCATAGGTTCGGGTTTTGTTGCCATGCCTGGTAAGTGGTAAACCGGTCATTGTTCAAACGAATAAAAAGGCAAATCTAGAGAGGCCGAGCCGATGGGTTCTAACTTCTAAAGTCCTCGTAATCATTCGTCCACAATCGCTCTTGGAGTTCCACCACCGTCTCGCTGTAGACCTGCCGTTTCCCCCGTCGGCGAGAGAGAGTTGATCAGCGGACTGAATCGCCGGTTCGATACCGCATCTGAAGGTTCAGAGAGAAGAGAAACGGAGGCCGTCGAACTCCCTTGTATTGTTTCGCAGCAATTTTCCTTTCCAGTGTATCTATTTGGATACCTTCCCAATCGCATCTTCTGGTTGGCTGACAATTCGGCAGTGATAAACTCTAGATTTCTCTGAAAGAATCCATAACGAGCATCAGGGAGATCCATTCATATGCATGTTCTGCTTTTATGGTTGCTTCTTCTTGCCCTAATGGCGTTCGTTTGCTTGACGGGCCGCTGAATAATGCAGGAGGGAAGAATGGAGGAGCAATTCATTCTCAGAGTTCCGCCTTCTGTTGCCGAGCGCTTAGAATCCCTTCTGAACGGAAGTGCAGCTTCTCCCGAAGAGCAAGCACTAGATTTGTCTTTCTCTGGTGAGGCTATCCATAATCCCTTTTCCTTTTCGGTTGAGCTTCTCAAGCTTCCAGCTAGAGCTGTAAAAACGTTAAGTTGCATTTAGTTATTCATTCTAAGAACTCAGGAACAATTGGAATCATCAAGGATTCTTCTTCCTATACCATTTTTTCCATCCAAACTTGCTATTCATGAACTTCCCCTCTGTGTATGCTTGATGGACTTTTGCAGAGAATGGACGGAGTGGCACATTTAGCATTGGCAATGAGCAATTCCCTGCATCTCTCTTGGATCTCCCTTGTGTGACGGAGTCCTATAAGACGTATGATGATCGAGCTCTGGTTAAAACTGCAGACATCGGCCAGGTACGTTGTTATAGTCGTGTGACTACTACTACATTAAGAGCGCAATTTACTGTGAGATTTTTTACAGATGATTATGGTTAGAGGACCGAATGAATCAGCTCCAGATACAATTGAGTACAGACATGGTCTCACTCCTCCTATGAGGGATGCTCGGAAAAGAAGATTCAGAAGAGAGCCTGACCTCAATGTATGATGATCTGAGCACTCGTTTACCCTTTTGATTAAATTTCACTGTGAATTTCTCTGAAGTAATAGCTGTATGATCAGAAAGCAGGTGGCTTTTTTCGATTTGGTTGGAGTTTGAGCAACTAATGTCTGCATCTTTTTTCATTCAGTTCAGTCTTTACTTACATCTTTGTGGGTTATTACTTGCAGCCTGAGCTTGTGCAACGCGTTGAGAGAGACCTATTGAACATCATGGCTGGTGGAACAGTAGAGAATGGTAATATCCTTTGATTCATATTTTTAACAACTGCCAATCTTTACTTATTGAGCCTAATGCTCTCACACACAAGTCCTTAACTTGGCTGCCTTACGTACTGAAGTGAACGAGCAAGAAGATGGGAACCAGAATGCATCTAATGCCAATAAGAAACCTGCACCAAAGCCCGTGACAAAGCCTGAGGCTCCACCAACAGCAGCTAATGCTGAAGAGCCAGAAAGAAGTGATTCTGATGATTCTGAGGACTCAGCGTGATGAGAATGCGTGCCTCGTCTTACCGAACTCAGGTTAGAGTGTACAGTGCTCTAATGTTCCTTGATCTCCCTCTCTACTATATGTTGGGCTGAGGTTTTTTCCAAACTGTATTGTCCGTGTCTTGGAAGCTTTCGAAGAGAGGCTTCTTTCAAATGTAGGAAGAACTGAGGAGAGGAAGAAAGCTACAGAAATGTAGGCAAGGATGGGGAACAACTGAGTTTGGCTGGAATCTATTGATAGTGGTGATGTTTAGAGGATGTTGAGCTGATCCTTTCCGTTTTACATTTTATTTCTGGACGGGAATCAAGATAAGTGAGCTACAGTTCCTTCTAAGGTGTGGCTATGTAAGATGAAAGTCATGAAAGTGTACCCGTCTATGGATGCCACAGCTGATAGTTTATAGTTTATACTGAGTTGAGAATTCCAGTCTCCATAGCTTAATGCTAATTCTTTTTTGTAAATCAGTTTTCAATCCCATGTTTGAGCGAATGTGAATATAACAACAAAGGCCACACCCAAAACAAAGACCAAGAAATGAAGCGATAAGCTTCCCGCCAAGGCTTATAGAAGCAAACAGAGAGGCTTCATTATATATATAGATCTCTCTGCTTCTATATCGTTTGGCTCTCTCGCCTTCAGTTCTGCCTCTAGCAAAAGTCTGATCTCGCTCGATCTGATTTGGGGAATGTTATTTTAGATCAAATTGTAGATAAGGGAAGGTGCGGATCACAGATCATATCACGGGGCAAGAAAGATGATTACATGCAGCCAGTTCGATGTGAAGCGTCTCTTACATCGCAGAGCCCGACGATGATGTCTGATCGAGTTCGGAGAGCCACAACTTCGTTGTTGCAACTTGTAATGTGTAATTGATATACATGAAATGAAGTGGATATACAGGGCAAGAGTGCGGTAAGGCCGGTAACGATGCTCTATCATCTTTCGATCAAGTTTATGTCCGGGAAAAAAAACAAGAGTTACATCAGGAATTTAGTTACCAACTGGACAGAACGAATGCGCATCACCAGTCGTCCTCCAAGCTAGCTCGATGAAAACACATGACTGTGCATACAAAGATGAAGAACGACGTGAACTCGATGAACATTGCCCCTGTTTCAATCATATTGGCATGTCTAAGGATGATAGGAATCGCTAAGCTCCCAACGGCTGATGCTCCAGTGAGGAACTTTGCAGCATCTATCCAACTGCAGTTTAGCAACAGCACAAGCTTTAAGGATGAAAACTTTTTTCGCAAAAAAAAGTAAATGCCACAGAAGTCTAACGATCAGAAACCAGTTAGCCGAATGAAGGTAAGATGTAAGTACGCTCACCCGCCACCATCCCGGCTTATAAGAAACTGAGTTGATCCACCTCCAAAGAATAAACAAGGCATAGGCACTAGCACATACATAAGAGCTGCAGCGCACAATGATTTTTGTATCATGATTCAAGAACCTCTCCAAATCCAAATTTTGTAGTGTTCACGAATTAATAACACCAAACCTGATAACATGGGCCACCAATTGTTGTATATTGCACAGGCCTGAAATGACAGAAATCAGGAAGGTGAAACTTTTCGTTAAACAACATGGTACAATGTCCTGACCGTAATATTTATAGCAATCACACTTTGATTTCATGCCATGTACTGATGTACATTGATGCAGTGGAATAGAAGATTCAGAGATGGGTAAAGAAAAAAGCATGTTCAAGTTTGGAATGCATGCATTGGAACTTGGAAGATTCCTAAGCACAAAGCCCTAGAGATCTACAAGCTGATTGAGTGCCAAAAGTGCAATCAGCAGAACTTGTAAAAATTTGAGTATCATACAGAAGGCAACAGGAAACAAAACAACAAGTACTTCATCGGAAAGAATAACGAGATCATCTTATAGGATATAACCAGATCCTCCTCTGGCATCACAATAAAAATCCATCTGGCCAACCAGCTCCTAGCAAATTTAGATTAATAACCAGAGGTCAGCCTAAACCCAGTTCATATTAAAGAAAGTTAATTAGTTCTTTCTCAGTTCATTTTCATCATATAGATCTTAAGATCAGTGTTGAGAACTAAAGAAAGCAGGCTAGATTTAATAATTGATTAACACAAGAATTCAAATTGACAACTGATGCACTTTGGTTGGAGTTGTTACAACTTTTGACAACGCAAGTCCTGTACCAAATTCCTTAATGATGCTTCCTTGATTGTCAGTTCTAGTTAGTTTCTATAAGTACTGAACAACATCTGAATGACTTCTTGGATAAATTTTAACGTTTTTGAGTAACAATATGGTTCTTTTCCCTCTTGGAAAGAAGCAGCGGAACAATACCTCAGTCCCAGAAAAGGGCGCGATGGACAGTAGTAACCATTTTCTAGACTTCTGTACCTGATAATGCTTAACTACGAAACCTTTCTAGTCCAGGTGCATACAGTTGGCCGATCTTAACTTCTAAGAGACTTGGCATTTGTAACAATTATGCAGGGATCCCATAGTACAAACCAAGGAGACTGAAAACATACCAGTATTTGTAGCAGAATACTAGCTGAGAACATAAAAGCAAGACCGGCAAGCCTGCGTCGAAACAAACTCAGTTTAGAAACTAGTCACCAAAACACAAAAGCACATGCACAGGTTTCAATTCCATATCAAAGCTTCCAACTTACACTGTAGAGGACGGCATTAATCATTTTGCGACACCGCAGCACCAGCGCATCAAAACAGAAAGCGATTAGCAATTGAAAGATACATACTTGAAAGCAAGTGCATATGTATTCCTACTATGGATGAAGACATCTGACTATCCGAGAGCAATAAACTTCACAGCTAATTAAGTAGACAGGATACCCCCACAACAAGAAGACGAACTCAAGCTCACAACCCAGACAAACTAAAGTCTACGCCTCAAAGCTCCAAGCACCATCAATAGGTTAGGTCACTCTGATCAAATCGAATCAACAATGGCAAGTGAAAAACTTTCTGCACAAATTCACTACTTTCGTGTCTAAATTCTGAATTATTTTCAAGGAAACCAAACAGATGTATATCCCTCCAACCAGAGCAGCCCTCTTCTTTGCCTACGGAAGAAAATCCGACTAGTAAGAAGCCCTATCAAAACTGAGTTCAGTGGAGCTCAACGAAGCGGGAACCTAGCTAGAAGGCTATAAATTAATCGATGCAAACTGCAAGAGGTAGGTGGGAATTTCGAATCTGTTAACGAATTAAATAGAATTGATGAAATTGCAAGGAAGAACGAAGAATAAGTCGTACCTTCAACCGTCATCGCCATTTTCTGCGACTACGAGGAATAGAAAGCTCTAGTGGGTTTTCACTGGTCGCTCGTGAGCCGGAATAGCACAAGCAAAATGAAGGAGCAAAACAGCAGAGAGCTTCCTGAGAAAAGACGAACCAAGTCAGGAGTACGGCGTGATTCGTCTTCTTCTCTTCTTCCTGCCTTTTGCCGGTTGCTGAAGGAAAAAGGGAGAGGAAGAGGGAAGAAGGAGAAGAGGAGGAGAATATTTAATTTTGTTTTTCTTTGTTGCAATTCTTTAGATTTTGGTCAATGAAATTTCATTAGGCCCGTCGTTGCCTGGTTAAGTATATTAGCCCATATTCCCTGGCCCACCCAATTTCCCATTCTTTTATCCAAATCTACTAGACATATAAAGACAAAACATAGTTTGGAATTGTCTCATTTCAAATTTCGTGGTATGAGAGTGATTTTAGGAAGGTCAATTGATTTGTTGTTCGATTTGAATCTGTCCCCTGCGTCGGCAAACCCAGCATCAAAGCCCAGAAAGACCCAGCGACGACTTCATCTTCCAGCGGTGGTCTCATCCTCGTTTTCCGACGCCGAATATGTCCCACTGCAACAACAAGAGAGGGTTTGGGTTCAAGCAAATCGACTAACCCATCTCGATCTGGGTTTATAGGATTCAATTTCTATGTTTGAGAGTTTCAATTTTTGGCTATTGGGGTTCTGGTTCGTGCTAGCTGTTGGGGTTATGCCTCAACCTCCATCGTCGAAACCCGAGTTCTGGATTTGGGTGCTTCTTCCGTCATCGTGGGTATGTCGAGGTCATTTTTGGGTGATGTCGACGTCGATTAGGAAGAAAGGAAGATGAAGGAGGGCAAAATTGTATTTTTATAATTTTCGTTAAAAACCTAGGTTTGTAAACAAACAAGTGATTTATTAAAAACTCTCATATTATAAACCTGGGTTTTAAACTAAGGGATTGTGGGTAAAATCCCAGGCTTTAGAAAACCTTCATCCAAACGACCCCTAGAGTGATTTTAGGAAGGTCATTTTTGTCATTACTCTCACTTCATCCTTATATATTAAAAATGTTATCATTGGAGTTTGAAATCTGGTCACTTCAATGAAGAAAGAACATTATAACCAACTAGACTACATTGTGTTTATTGTTATTCTTTCCATTAAACTCTAGGAATATGTTTGGTGATAATGCTTCTATCTTTATAGTTTATCTTAAGTTATTTATATTTTTATAGAAATATATTTTTACTAAAATCGAAACTCAAGTAACATTGATTCAAACATTAATATTAAATTGTATGTGTATTTTAGTTTAGACAAAATACAGAAGTGTAACCAAAACATGGATCTTTGTAACGAGTATAGTCATTTTTTGACCAAATCTACACATAATATAATGGTAAAATTGGAAAATGAGAGTCTCCTTTTAAATTTCGTGGCCTAGGAGTGATTCTACAAACCACTTTTTCGTCATAGCGCCAAATTTATTTTTATATTATCTGTAAATTTGTCACAAAAAATTACTATATATGTCACGAAGACCCATATTTTGGCTACACACATGTATTCTATCTAAACTGTACCACACTTATAATTTAATATTTAATATTTGAATCAATGTTACTTGAGTTCGATTTCACAATAAATTACTTTTTATAAGATATAATAATTTGGTTTATTTTTCTTCAATTGTAAGCATACACTTAGCGAAGATTTGAAAAGCAGAGGAATTTCCCATCACGGTTAGCTAGCCTATTAAGTCTTCTGAAAAGCAAAGTTTAATACTAATTTATAATTTTTTATAACCTATAAAATGACGGGTAATCTTAAAATTGCAACACAAATTTCAATGCTTGGAATATTGCGTATCGAATTGCATTATTGAATATGCAAAAGAGATGTAAAATTCTTTAAATTAATATAAAATTTCAGAACTGCTACGAAACAATAATATTTCGTACAAACTATAGGTGACTGGTTCTCAAAAATTTTAGCCTGTGTAATTGCTAAACATTAAACCTCTTGCTAATCTGGCATAAATGGATCTAACAATAATGAGACGATATTGGATTTAATGTGATGTTCATTTAGTCATTTGGATTTGTTGACCAATTTAAGGGCATTAACATATAAATGAGTTATAGTTAACCTCATTATACAATTTTACTCTTTATAATAATTAATTTAATCTTATTATTTGTGTTGTTTGAAATATTTTATGTATGATTTAGAGATATACTTATTATTTGTGGCATCAGTGGTAGTTGGCTTAAATGTAGTATTTTATCAGGTAGTCAAAAATAAATTTTTGGGTGCATTTATGACTGTTTTTTATCTTGGTGTTGTGAATAGGTAAAAACTCAATTATTATAATGCATATAACTATACCCATGCACATGGTCGAGCTAGCATGACACAGTTAGAGCATACCATGAAGACAATGTATATGGATCGACCCTATACAAGCATGAATGCTTCATGGGTCGTACCAGACTTAAACTTCAAGAGCTCGCGCACGATTGCAAACACCACACAGTCTAGATTGGTGAACTCATGTTTTATGGAGAAATGCGCCATTTGAGAGGAATAAGCGGCCATATGTTCGCCAAGTTTCAGGTCCTTTGATTCACACTATCGACTGTGAATGGAGAAGAAGCATTTCGAACGCAAAATTGGAGAAGTAATTGGGATGTTTCTAGGTTTCTCTCGATTCCAGGCGGTGGGAAGAAAGAGGAAGGGCAAGGGGGAGAGTGGTGAGATACAAAGCTAGAGAGAGAGAGAGAGAGAGAGAGAGAGAGAGATGGAAGAACAAACGTAAAAACAAAGGATTATCGAGGACCTGCTGGGCAAGTGTAGATGTCACCGTCTCATCCAGCCTAATCCACACCTATGTTGATATGACCTCGAGGATCTAAGCCCTTGAGAATGATTAACTTAGGTGGTGGACGGGTAATACCTGCTAGCATCTCAAAGCAAACCCATCGTTCATCGACTGGAGAAGGAGCTTGCTGGCTGGAGCTTCGCCGATTGGAGAATGAGCTCACCGGATCAATCTTCTCTCCCTCCACTAGAGGAAGAAGAGGCGGATTGTAGCAGTTTCGTTCGATGGGGAGGTCGAGTTTGGGCGAGGCTGGGAGAAGAACGATGGGAGTTGGGGTTAGCAAAACCACACCGTTGGTCTAAGTGAACAAAAGGAAGAAAAAGTGGTCGAGGGATTCCAACGCCGGACTCGTTAAAAGGAATGGGGGCGTAACCAGTTAGGCAACGGGGAAAATCCGTCCCTCATTTTCCAGCAAACGATCTTTTATTGTTTCTGCCAACTGCCTCTTCTATTCCCCATGGTTTTTTCCAACGATAATGAAATTGCAAGTGAACACGTTTCTTACCATTTATTTTTTATTTTTGTTGTCACACTAGAAAACAGAAAACAAAATGGCAAGTGAATGAGACATAAGAGAGAGTGAGATGACACATTTAAAAGAGGAGGAAAATGAAGTAGTGTAAAATTATTGCCTTTCTTCTTTGCTTAGTGGGTATTCTTGGCCCTGTTGAGTTTTGGTTCATTTTAGGAGATGACAGTATATGTTATAGATTTTTTCCAGTTCAATTAAGGTGTCGTCTGAAAGTTGCAATTGTTTTGTTGAGATTGTTACTATAATGTATTGTTTAGAATGCATTATTTTTTATTTTTTTAGTAGAAATAATACATGGATTACATATGTGATGTGACAGAAAATATCACTCAAAATGAGTTATTGTTATATCTCAACTTTTGTTGTGATTGTTGAGTTGAGATTGTTTTGTCTTAACTTTTAGCTTATGTGACATACACAATGCATCTAATCCGACAATACATTCATAATATTATACATGCATTCACAACAAAACATGTATTTAACAATTGCAACTTCCAAACGACCCCTTAAAATCCTAAGTCAATATTATCATTTGGATGATTTTTTTTCTTAATACGTTTATGATAATTTCTGAGATTTAAGGGTATTTGATAATTTCAATATTTTAGTGGTTTTTAATCTAAAGTTTGAATTGAAAGATCGTACATACTGGTGGTATGACCATAAAACTTCACACCATAGTCTAAATCGATACGTGATATTTAGCTATATGAAACGGTTGAACCACAGTTAAATTAAAATTTCAATATAAAATACTATACTACCAAATTTGTTGATACAATTACAATTATTTGGTTCGAACAATTCTTTTACGTGGTAACTAAACTTTTAAGGTACATTTTGAACTATCTATTGCAAAAAAGCATAAGTCAGTTAGCGATAATGAGAAAGAATACATTTCCTATTTCCTAGATGTGAACAAGTTTTACAATGTAAATTGACAGTAATTAGTAAAAAAAAATGAGAGGAGTCCTCTCCTCTCCTCTCCTCTTCTGCTCTGTTCGGTGCTTGGGCGGTGGCTATCGCGGGCCGCCGTCGTCATTTGCAAAGCCAGCGTGGAAAACCAGAGTCAAGGGATTTCACTTTTGCCATCGTTGACTTGGAATCGTCGCCGGGAGCCTGGACGACAAGAAGCCCCGATCAATAGCAGAGAAGGGGTAGCTCTCCTAGATTCGGCGAGCCCTACTTCCGAGAGGGATTTGACTAGGATGGCCAGGCGTCGAGCTAAATGGCTTCGCCTGAGAAAGCGATCGATTCAAACGGCTTTTTCCGAGGTTCTAACTGAAGTAGGACGTCCAACCAAGAGATGCCGGATCCGACCACAGTATCAATGGCGATTCTGGCTTCCGGATTAGTCAGAACTGGAAGATGACGATTGTGTCTCGCCCTCGTTCGCGGGGAGCAAAATTAAGCCCTCACGGCATTCAATTGCAGGTCGGCAACCAATTAATCGATTCAACCCCTCTGTACCCTTAGGGGTGGGGACTATTCTCGTGCCGCCAGAGCAAGCGATGAACGAGAGTAGAGTACCCTGTTTGTTTGTTGAATCCAATTGTCTTAGCAAACACGAAAATCGTGGTGAATTTGATGGTCAAGATGATCCCCTCGGGGAGGAATACTGCGGTGTACTGCAAGGCAGTGCCAAATCGGAGAAAACCTTTACCAATCCCTTTCCCAAGGTCGCCGGGGCGGAGTTGATTGGCCGGAGGGGCGACATCGACGTTCAGCGCTGGGGTTTGGGGAAGCAGTTGCGTGGGGTGGGTAAGGAGGGATTTTCGGGAGATTTTTTGGGTCTGTTGGGCGAGATTAGCGGGTGTCGGTTCCGATTCTGGGAAAACAAATCGAAGCCCCAACATAAGTCTCCTAGTCCAAATACTCTTCTAACTAAAAGATGGAGCAGGGGTGTTTCCCTCTCCCTGGGTAACTCGGACTCTTTCCCATTTAAATTGCCTTCATCCCCCGCTGTAACTCTTCTGTGTAATACTCGTTGCCTTGGATTTTCTGGAGAAGCAAGGAGAGGAGCTGCGGTGCGTTCTGAGCCAACAACGAGGTACTGGGCTTCTCCCCCAATCTGTAGAAAGCTTAAAGAAGAAGGAAAAGAAATGGCGAAGGGAAATCCGCAGCTCAGCACAGCTGTGTTTCTTCCTATTTATATTCAAACATAACGGCCGTACAACGGTTACTTCCAGTTTTACTGTTTAACCAAAACACGTGGCTAACAGGGATTTGACAATAGAAAATTAACAGTACTAAAACACAAAACGCATAAGTAAAGAAAAGAACGACGTCGTGCGAACTGGAAAGTGGGCGAAGTCGCGAAAACGTTCCCCATAACAACGAATCGTCTTCAAGCCCAAACCCCGTTTCGGTGCACTGCTGAAACGCTCTGCATCTGCTGCTGAAGCTGATCGCTAGAGTACCTCTGAGCTTCTTCTTCCTGTGCATTCAAGTCCACAGCTCCAACAGCATACTTCAACACTCCCCCGCAAGTTGGCGCGTAGATATTCATCACGCCCAACTTGTCAAGTAAATAATTAATTCTGTAACGAGTGAGCCCTTTTGTAAATAGATCTGCAATGTTGTCTTCACTTCGAATGTAGCAGAGTTTGATCAGTCCAGACTTCACCCTCTCTCTTATCACATGAACATCGATCTCGATGTGCTTAGTTCGTTCATGATATACTGGATTCTCCGCTATCTGAATAGCTGACATATTGTCACAGAAAACATTAACTGGAACTGGAAGCTGCACATTCAATTCCTTTAAAAGACCTTGCAACCACTGAATCTCACATACCAGATGAGCAAGTGCTCTATATTCCGCTTCTGAAGAGGATCTTGAAACAGTTGTCTGCTTCTTAGCTCGCCAAGTAATCAATGACCCTCCCAGAAAGGTGCAAAAACCTGATATGGACTTTCTGGTATCAGGGCAAGCTGCCCAGTCAGCATCACTGTATGCTTTAAGTGTCAACTCAGTGTTGGATTTGAAATGTAATCCTTGCCCAGGTGCTCCTTTCAAATACCTGATAACCCTGAAAGCTGCTTGTAGATGAGTGTCTCTAGGCTGAATCTGATATTGACATAATTGCTGGACAGGATAAGCAATATCAGGCCTTGTCACAGTCAAGTAATTTAACTTGCCTATCAACCTCTTGTAACTACCAGGATCATCAAGCAACTTTCCTTCTTGAGCACTCAGTTTTACCTTACAATCAATAGGACTCTTGCAACTCTTAGCATTTGTATAACCTGTTTCCTCAAGTAAATCCAAACAATATTTTCTCTGACAAACTGTAATTCCAGTTTCATTTCTGCTGATCTCCAGACCCAGGAAGTACTTCAACTCTCCAAGGTCTTTGATTTTGAAATCCCTCTTAAGGAATCCTTTCACTGCTTCTAGATCTCCCAATCTTGGACCTGCAAGTATAATGTCATCGACATATACTAAAACCACAACTATTCTGCCTTGGACCCATCTAATGAACATGGAATAATCTGAATTAGATTGAGAGAATCCATTTTTCAGAAGGGTTCCACTGAGTTTAGCAAACCACTGTCTGCTAGCTTGCTTAAGTCCATATAGTGATTTCTTTAGCTTGCAGACCAAGCCATTAGTGTTTCCCTCAATAGGAAAACCAGGAGGGAGTTGCATATAAACATCTTCTTCTAAGTCACCATGCAAAAATGCATTTGAAACATCTAGTTGATGCAAATTCCAATCCTTAGCAGCTGCTACAGCTAACAAGGTTTTAACAGAGTTGTTCTTAGCCACAGGAGAGAATGTATCCATGAAATGTACCCCATATATTTGTGTGAATCCCTTTGCTACAAGCCTTGCCTTATGTCTCTCTATACTTCCATCTGGTTTCAGTTTTACTTTGAAGACCCATTTGAAACCTATGGGCTTCTTCCCAGGAGGTAAGATGACAATCTCCCATGTTTCATTATCCAAAAGAGCTTGCAATTCCTCATTCATTGCCCTAATCCAGCATTCATCCTTGCTGGCTTCTTCATAAGAAGAAGGTTCAAATTCATTCATAATGCTCAGGGCATAAGCTTTGGCTTCTGTTGTAAGTAAATCATATCCCATGCAATCAGATAAAGGATAATGACTGACAGTATTAAGATAGTAATCTTCAAGCCTTGTTGGCAATTTGATTTCTCTGTATGGTCTTCTTCTGACCTGAGGTTCTGCCTCATGCTCTTCTAACTGCTCAATTTCATGACTTTCTACTTCCATTCCCAACTGATCAGACTGATCAAACACATCTACCAATTCATTTGAACATGATGCATCAGACCAATCAGCAGACTTAGATTGACTAACAGGAGGACTACTGACAAGGGGAATGCTACCAGAAGGGATGGACTTGGAAGTAGAAGGAGAATGAGAACTAGGACTACTGACATGAGAGGAACTACTATCAAGAGGACTACTGACAGGCCTATTTGGAATTGGAACTGGAACAGTAGGTGTGGGAATCACTTGATGTTGATTTTGTTCAGTGTTCTCTACTGTGTGAGAAGATTTAAAGGGAAAAATGTCTTCATAGAAAACAACATCCCTAGAGACTAGAAACTGATGAGTGTTTAAGTCAAACAATTTATAGCCTTTAATGCCAGATGGAATCCCTAAGAAAATGCACTGTTGTGCTCTAGCATCAAGTTTGGTTCTTCCCTGTGAATGTGTTGTAGCATAAGCTAGGCAACCAAAAACCTTAACATTGCCTAAGAAGGGAGGATGATTGTAAAGAATCTGATAAGGGGATTTATTTTGAAGAACTGGAGTAGGAAGCCTGTTAATCAAGTAGACTGAGTGTAATACACAGTCACTCCAAAAAGCAAGTGGCACACCTGAATGAAATCTTAATGCTCTAGCCACATTCAATATGTGTTGATGCTTTCTCTCTACCCTCCCATTTTGTTCAGGTGTGTAAACACAGGAGGTTTGATGTTCAATACCCTTTTCCAAAAAGAAATCACACATGAGGAATTCCTTCCCATGATCACTCCTGACTATTTTAACTGATTTGGAGAATTGATTGTGAACCATGGAACATAAACCTGTGAGTAAACCCCTAGCTTCAGACTTATTTTTCATGAGGTATACCCATACAGCTCTAGAGTGATCATCCACAATGGTGAGAAAGTAAGAAAAACCATCATGAGATTGAATGGATAGTGGACCCCAAATATCCACATGAATAAGTGCAAACACATCAGGAGCAATGTTGGTACTTAATGGAAAAGGAAATCGTTTCTGTCTAGACATATGACAGTGTTCACAGTGTTTGATTTGTTCTAAAGGAATCTCAGGATTACATTTGGTAAGAAGTTGCAACTTGGAAAAACTAGGATGTCCTAAACGCCAATGCCAAAGATCAATCTTCTGCGAGTCAAAGTTGTAAACTGAGGCAATCTGGGTGGTGGATGAATTGGATTCTGGAAATTTTGGTTCTGAAGGAAGGAGATAGTATAGGCCTCTACTTTCTTTCGCCAAACCAATCATCTTGGTTGTTAGAAGGTCCTGGATATGGCAAATGGCAGATTGAAAAATGAGTGAAATAGGAAGGTCATGAGTTAATTTGCTAACGGAAACAAGGTTGAAGGTGAAACTAGGTACAAGGAGTACATTATGGAGGTATAGATCAGAAGACAGTTTGACTGTACCTACATGACTGACTGCTACTTTTGCTCGATTAGGAAGGTAAACAAAGACATTAGACACTGGAGTGGAAGTGGCAAACAAGGAAAGAGAACATGCTATATGATCTGATGCACCAGTATCCAAAATCCAAGAGTAAGACAGTCTGTTATTATCAGTCATGTGTTGAGTGGAGAGGACAAATTTTTACCTGAATGAGATGGGAACTGAGGAAGATGCTTGGTCACAGAGTGAGATCTATGGTTGATAACTGGACTCTAAGGAGATGGGGGTGAATTAGAATTGGATGATTGAAGTAAACTCCTTAGCTTGTTCATTTCCTCCACTGTGAAACCTCCAGAATGAGAACGAACACTGTTGGTTTCAACGTGCAACTGTCCCTCAGACTCCTGATTCTCTTCATTTCCTGAAGATTGGCCAACTGCACCAGCAAAACGATTCCCAGAACCTCCCTCTCTCTCCTGTCTCTTCTTCTTAAGCCTCCAACAATCCTTTATAACATGGTTGGTCTTCTTGCAGTAATTGAAAAATAACCCTTGTGTCTCTCCTTCATTCTTACCTTCATACTTACCTTCATACTTGCCTTCATATTTCCCTGATGTTTTCCCAGAAGAAGTTGTACTTCCAACTGCAAGGGCCACTGATTGTCCAGATTTTTGATTTCCCAAAGTTCCTTCTGCTTTTAACTTCTGTTCATGTTGCAACAAATGATCAAACGCAGTGACCACTGAAGGAAGTGGTTGCATCATGAGCAGCTGAGTGCTGATATAGCCATACTCATCATTCAGCCCCCTGAGAAACCTAATAAGGTAAGCAGTATTCTGTTTCTCCCTAAAAGCTTCCACTGCAGTACATGGGTTCAAGTTCCCAGGAGCACAATGACAAGGAACAATGGGATTAAATTGGGTATACTCTTCCCACAGCCCTTTCAGATGAGTGTAATACTGTGTCACATTCATAGTACCCTGCTTGAAAGCATGAATCTCATCTTCCAGATTAGCTAATTTGATAGCATTAGCTTTCCCAAAACGGGTTTCCAGTTTGTTCCACAGAATCTGGGCATTTTCATGGGTTTGTACACTGCGAGCAATCTCTTTGTTCAGAGAATTGTTAATCCAACACAATACAATTGTATTGTTCGCATCCCATACATTAAACATATCACTATCACGATCTGGAACTGGTATTGACCCATCTATGAAACCCAATTTCTGTTTGGTTTTAAGAACAGCTTTCACAGCTCGAGACCACATCTGATAATTCGGGCCATCCAAAACGATTGGGACAATTGATTGAGCTAGATTCTCATTCAAGTTGATGTAATAGGGATTACCGAAGACTGGGTCTGAGATACCACCGTTTCTAGATCTGGAACCACCTCCATTGTTGTTGTTGTTGAATGATCCAAAGTTGACAGGAGATGTAAAAGGAGCAGCTGTAGCGTTGCTGATACCACTACCACCAAGTGGTGTGTTTGGAGGGTTTTGTCGATCCGCCATTCTTCTTCAACGCTCTGATACCATGTAGAAAGCTTAAAGAAGAAGGAGAAGAAATGGCGAAGGGAAATCCGCAGCTCAGCACAGCTGGGTTTCTTCCTATTTATATTCAAACATAACGGCCGTACAACGGTTACTTCCAGTTTTACTGTTTAACCAAAACACGTGGCTAACAGGGATTTGACAATAGAAAACTAACAGCACTAAAACACAAAACGCATAAGTAAAGAAAAGAACGACGCCGTGCGAACTGGGAAGTGGGCGAAGTCACGAAACGTTCCCCATAACAACGAATCGTCTTCAAGCCCAAACCCCGTTTCGGTGCACTGCTGAAACGCTCTGCATCTGCTGCTGAAGCTGATCGCCATAGTACCTCTGAGCTTCTTCTTCCTGTGCATTCAAGTCCACAGCTCCAGCAGCATACTTCAACACAATCCTCCCATTCTTGCTTTCCATCGAGAGAGATTTCAATTTCTGTCTCGGCGGTAGCCATATCAATCTCGTGCAGTTCGCTGCCACCTGCTGTGCCCGGCCCTGGTCTCGGCGGTGATCCCCGCATCGACCTGCAGTTCCCTGCCTCTGGCTGTGCTGGCCACCGCGCCGGCTGGGGATAGATTGAGGAAGCTGGGCCTGCCTCTTTCAGTGCTGGACACCGCGCCGCCTAAGGACAGCTTGCGAAACTTGGGCCTAGTCCTACCGAGTGTTGAGGCTGCTAGTGAGGGCCCAATTATCTCACTACCTAAATTGCTTGTGGACAACCCACTTTGTTTTATTCCACCATATCTGTTTGTGGCCAGCCCACAAGACTCTCTACCGATGTGTCAATTAATTAGGTAGGTTGGGGCTGACCCGTTATTTCTAATAATTTATCTATCCCCTTGTGTCAGGTGACTACAATAGCGCGTATAGCGGAGGATCAAGTGGTTGAATTTTCACTCGACGAAGTCCAATCGGTGAAATTTTGAACTTCGAGGACTCTTTTGGGGAGATTATTCTCGGAAACCACATTCACTCCTAGTGAGTTGAGGGAGGGCCTGCTTGAGGCTTGGCGGGTGCAAGGAAACCTTCGGGTTTCGGCCACTAAATTTGGCCTATTTGAAATAATTCTCCCAAGTGTGGAGATGAGGGTTTGGCTTCTAAAAAGATCTCCATGGATTGTTAAGGACAAGATTCTCCACCTTCGGTCCTGGACACCCTCTATCACAAGGCCTATTTTTGATGATTTGGCCATTGCTCCATTTCGTGTTCAGCTATGGAATGTAAAAGAAGACTGTTGCACGAAGCAGTTTGGCCGGAAAGTGGTAGCTGAGATTATTGGTCAAGTTTTGGAGGCTGATGTCTTTACTTCCAAAGACACTGATGAACGCTTTGTGAAAGTGCATGCTCTCATTGATTTTACCAAACCTTTGCGGTCTCAATTCATGGCGGTTAGTGAAGAGATTGGAAGCTCAAAGCCGAAATGTGTTTTTGGCCCCCCTACTGGCAAGGAACGTTTTGGATCGCACATGTCTACACGCAAGCCAGGAAGGAAGATTTATCGGGAGGATGAAGATTACCCTCAGTTCCGCAATGTCAGCAAAACAGTGTGGGTGAATAGAAATACCCAAGTGCTCAATAATGGGGGCGAGAAGGTTGCTAGCAGATTTCCGGGTACTAATACCCGCCCGCATACCCAAGTGGCGTCTCATCCTCTCTCAAGAGAGCCGAAAACTCAGAAGAAGAGAGAGACACAGACTCGGTTACACGACCCAAATAATAACCCCCTTGGGAGTCGGGCTAGTCCTAAGCGTTTTGTCTTCAAGATGTCACCTCGGGTTAAGATTGAAAGTGCTCGACAACAACAGAAGAAGGCATCACCCAGAAAGGTTATACCTCCTCCCTGGCAGGGCACTAAGGGGCGCCAGCAGCCTGGTCGGCGTGCCAAGCAGGCTTCACAATGCCAGCAGGTTGTGGGCCATATGGCGGAAGCTTTCGAGCAATCAAGGAGGCGCAGGCTGATTTTACAAGAGGAATCTGAGGAGGAGGAGGAGGAGGAGGAGGAGGAGGAGGAGACCATTGGCGGTGGATCTAACCCCCCTATAATGCTGCGTGCTCCTGTTGGTCCGGCGAAGGACCCTAGCACGAAACTCAGGGCTCGCCCACGTCTTCGAAAAGGAGGAGCAGACTTCCCTCTTAACTTGTCCCACATGGATGGGGGCTCTACTCCTTCTGGTGATCTGCTTGACTTGGAGGAGAAGGAATTTGTTGCTACTTTGGAAGATCCTGTTGATGTAGATCAACAACATGACTTTGATTCTGATGATGATCAGGCAACTGAGGATCATCACTCCTTCGAGATAAAGCGACAGTCGCCAGCCGAGGACTCCATGAAAACTCGCCATATCATGAAAAGGCGTGTTCACCAAGTGGTGGAGGCATTTGAAGCTGGGTTAGTTATTGCAAGGGAGGAGGATGGTGTGGACAATGGAGTGAATTCAAGGCTGAATGAATACAGGTCTAATATGATGGACCCTATCATGGAGAATCGAAAACGAGTGCTTCATGAGTTGGAGGGGGATGTGGGTAACCCTCCTACCCCAAAGAAATAGTTTGTGGAATTGATTCATGATCTGGATAAGGTGGAGGAAGACAGCCTTGAATGGCCCCAGGAGGATAAATGAGGCTTCTTGCCTGGAAAGTGAGAGGAATTGGGTCGTCCCTCACTTTCCAAACTGTTGTAGTGCTTGTTGATTCTAATAAATCGGATCTCGTGTTTTTTTGGGAGACACGATCGAGCCGACGTGTAGTGTCCCGCCGTATGCGGGGTCTAGGTTTTGCTCTTTCTCATTGTTTTTTTTTGTAGATGCAGTCGACGCATCGGGAGGTTTAGTAGTTGCTTGGGCCCCCAGAGTTGACACTTTGGTGCTTTGTCATTCAAATTTCTATGTTTGTCGCAAATTAATGAAGGTGATTTTTCTTATGTGGTGATTTTTGTTTATATTAGTTGTACTATTGCTATTCGAGCTACCCAATTTGCTCATATGCGAAACGTTTGTGCGAATATCAATCACCCTTATGTGGTCATAGGCGATTTCAATGCTACTCTTCATGAGAGTGAAAAAGATGGGGGACGGGCGTGGAATGCTTCCCAAGCCTTTAGTCTCCGTGAGTTTGTTCATGATTTGGGTCTCCATGACCCTGGTTACCAAGGAGATCAATTTACTTGGACAAATAAACGCATGGGCGATGCATGCATTCATGCACGTCTGGATAGAGCAATTTGCTCTCAGTCCTGGATTGATACTTACCCGGAGACACTAGTCAAACACTTCACGGACCAGGGATCAGACCATCGTGCCCTTCTTCTTGCTGATAAACCATATGTTCGTACTAGTCGACCTCTTTTCCGTTTTGATGCCCGTTGGGAGGATAATCCGGAGGTAAGGGCCATGGTCAACTATGTCTGGCAGGAGGAGATCCAAGGCATCCCTATGTTTTGACTGTGGGAGCTCCTAAAGAAACTCCGTCATCTGCTCTATGATTGGAGTAGGGAGGGCACAACTAATTCCCTGCGCAATATCAGAATGCTCCAAACCGAGATTGATAGGATAAAGTCGATCCAACCGGTGGATTGGGATGAGATCAGGACCCTGGAAACGGAGCTCTCCCACCAGTGGGAAGCGGATGAGGTATTCTGGCAGCAAATATCCAGGGTTAAATGGTTAAAAAAGGAGATCAAAATTCTGCCTACTTGCGTACAGTCACAAGGGCTCGGCTAAAGAGGAATTTCGTTTCCGTGCTTCGAAATGAGGAGGGTGAATGGGTCACTGAGGAAATCGGGAAGGCTTCTATTGCCACCAACTTTTACCAGACCTTGTTTACCTCAGAAAATCAGGTTCCTAATATGGCTGAGAGGGTGGCGAATCTGCCAATTGCCCATAGTGTTACTCCGCAAATGAATGCGCAATTGACAGCGGAGGTTTTGCCTAGTGAGGTTCGGAGTACGGTCTTTTCCATGGGATCGAAACAGGCCCTGGGATCAGATGGCTTCACAGGGAAGTTCTTTAAATCTTTCTGGGATATTGTGGGCACTTCGGTGGTTGAAGCAGTAATCTCCTTCTTTACCTCGAGTCGGATGCTGCGGAGTTTTAACCATACCTGGCTCACTTTGATCCCTAAAGTGGACTCGGTGGAAACAATTAGACAATTGCGTCCGATTAGTCTCTGCCAGTTTGTTTACAAAGTGATTACCAAAATCATGGCTGAACGGCTGGCTAGCATGCTCCCTCAAATCATTTCGGAGGGCCAAAATGGCTTTATCAGAGACCGACATATTATTGATAACATCCTTATAGGACATGAACTAATGCATTTTCTGAAAATAAAAAAGCAAGGGAAGAAGGGGTACATGGCTCTGAAGGTTGACATGGAAAAGGCCTATGATAGAGTCGAATGGCCCTTCCTTCTTGCAGTTTTGGATAAGATGGGTTTTAATTCAGTCTGGCAAGGATGGATTAATGAATGTCTTCGATCCTCCTCTTTCTCGGTTTTGATGAATGGTACACCCTCGAGTTATTTCACTGCCTCTAGGGGTCTTTGCCAGGGGGATCCGCTCTCTCCTCTCTTGTTTGTACTCTGCACGGAGGGTTTTGCAGCCCTCATCCGAAAGGCGATCATGGAGAAAAAATTAGAGGGGTTAAAAGTAGCTCCTCGTGCTCCAAGAGTCTCGCATCTGTTCTTCGCGGATGATTCTTACTTATTTTTGCGAGGTTCTCTGCAGGAGTGCGAGAATTTAATTGAGGTGCTGAATGAATATGAGGAACTGAGTGGCCAATGCGTTAACTTGGAGAAATTGGCAGTGTGCTTTAGCAAGAATGTTTCCACGCCAGATCAGGAGTTCTTGGCCACGATCCTAGGGGTTGGTGCAGTAGGAGTCCACGATAAATAACTGGGGCTTCCAACGGTGGTTGCTCGGTCTAAAATGGCTACATTCAGATATTTGGAGGAAAAACACCTAGAGCGACTTTAGGGGTGGAAGCAAAGGACATTGTCGTGGGCTGCGAAGGAAACTTTGATTAAATCCATAGCGTTGGCTCTTCCCCTTCATGTTATGTCCTGTTTCCGTCTTCCCCTGGCTCTTTGTCGTCTTTTAGATAGGCATGTGGCCCGTTTTTGGTGGGATGCTGGGGAGGGTCATCCCAAGATTAGATGGGTGTCCTGGCGTAACATGTGCAGGAGTAAGCATGATGGTGGGATGGAATTTCGCCAGTTCGAACATTTCAACCAAGCTCTTTTGGCTAAGATAGGCTGGCGTATTCTCAACGAACCTCATTCACTTATTGCTTAGGTTTATAAAGGCAAGTATTTTCTTCAAGAATCTTTCCTGACCGCGACTGCTAGGTCTCGTCCCTCTTGGGGGTGGCAGAGTATCCTTCAGGGCGTCAGTTATTGGAGATGGGTTTGAGATGGCAGGTTGGTAATGGCCAATCGGTCTCCCTCCTTCATTGTAACTGGATTACTAGGTACCAACTAGATTCCCCATGCTATAATCCGCGGATCTTGCCTTGGGGGGGGGGGGTGATCCCTTGGTGGCGGAGGTTATTTGTGATGGGGGAGGGAGGTGGTATGATGAGAAGCTCAGTCAATGGTTTGACCCGCCCACCTGTAGGGCTATTAAAGCTATTCCTCTCCCGCGTTGGGATGTGCCTTATAGGTTTATCTGGCATTTTACGGCCGACGGGGTTTTCTCGGTTAAGTCGGCTTACCATTTGGTTGTCGATTTGGACAGGAGGAGGGGTGGGTGGCGATCCTCGGTTATCTGGATGGGTAAGCCCAGTTAGATTAGAGTTTGGGAGGCGAAGACATCTACGAAGTTGAAGGTTTTTGTTTGGCAAATTCTTCATCGGGCTCTTCCGACTATGGAGGCGCTTATTGAGAAAAAGGTCCAGGTGCTACCTCGGTGTCCAGTTTGTTGGGATGGCCAGGAGACAATGGAACACCTATTTCTTTATTGTCCGGTTGCGCGGGCTCTCTGGGATTATTCTGGGCTGGAATACTTGGGGGAGGGTTTGCCTCGGCATACTTTTCCTTTATTTCTCAAACGACTGTTGGTGTTGTTTCATCAACCGTCAGTAGTTATGGTTGTTGTTGCCATCCTTTGGAGGATCTGGCGATCTCAGAATTGGGTAGTCTTTGAAGGCAAACAATTTGGGATCCCAACGCTTATGCGACAATTTAACCAACAGTATGAGGAATGAGTGGGTCTACCAGCAGACCAGACACCTAGGGTGCAAATCCCGATGATGCAATCTACATCACAAGTGGGCGATTCCCATTTGGTTTGCATGTGGGACGGGGCTACTAAGGGTGGGTCGCATTCGGCTGGTGGGATAGTTCTTTTTGACCCAGCGCGGACACTCCTTCTGGCTAGAGGGGTCCAGTTTTCTCAAATGGATGATCCTGTAGTTGTGGAGTTGCTTGTGCTCAGGGAAGCTATTATTTGGTGTGTGGAGCAAGGCTTGTCGGAGGTCCGATTTGAAGGCGATGCGAAGGTGATTATTGACAAAATTAATCAAGCCGACACAAGAGATAGCCGGTTGGGTGCTGTTCTGGAAGAGATTGGTCATTATTTTCGTACTCAGCCTGGCTTTAGTGTGCGTTTTGTAGGTCGGGAGAACAATGGGGTAGCTCATTTGGTAGCTAGGAAAGCCCTCTCTTTGTACCCGACTATGAGTCGCTTCTTTGATTTCCAGACCTGGCTGGTTTCCAGGGTGTAACTGTCTATTTTTTTTCTATCAATACATGATATCTTTTGACAAAAAAAAAGACACTTTGCAAGTAATATGATTTTCATAGATTTTTATTAATTGAATTATTTCATGGACAAATATTTGTTGCATGAAAATTACTACATTGCTGCTACATGTATGCAATCTGAGAATAATTTGGGAAGTCCATACACAACATATTGTCCAACTAACTATTAGCGACAATTTAGTATCATGTCCTATATATTTCAAATAAGGCAACTTCTAATTCATTAACAACGGTGTGGTAAAAAAGAATTCTCTTTGTTGGAAAGAAAACTAATGGACATACTAAACTCTATGAGAGACACATTATTGGGAAACTAAAGAGGAACTTCTCTTCGCTCTGAGGTTTTCGGAGGCAGGAAATCGACTGCGCATCCGCGATTAGGTTTTGACCGCAGGGGCACAATCCAATGGCGGCGGCAGGCTCACCGGCCACGCCATCTCACCCACCACAGGAACCCAGACCCCCCGAACTTTCGGGTGGCACCCGCAGACCCCCCGAAATCTCATCGTCTCCTGATGGCAAGAAGGACGGGGAAACGCAACACGCAAAAAAGCGGGTTCGACCGCTGGATTTCAACAAAGATTGTGCAGGCTTGGAAGATGTTATCATTGAGGATATTACGGAGGAAGAGGTACATGAGGATATGGGCCCGGAGGCCTGACAGGACAACACGGGCTCGAAGTCGACCGATGGGAGACCACAGCCGCCGCCGGTGGCTTGGGGCGTGGGTAGCAAGAAACTTTTTAGTGAGGCTGTTCGTGAGGAATCATGGTACGTGGGGGGAATCAGACAACGAGGATGTGGTGGAGGAGATGAGTGAAGATACAACGAAGGAGGATACTGCTCATGAGGAAGACCCCCGCTGCCCTACGATTTATTTCTCGCCCGAGGAGTGGCGGAGCTACAGGCGTGAATGGAGATCAGCGCTCATGGTGAAGGTACTCGGCCGATCCTACCCCTACCCAGTCATATCCAAGCGTCTCAATATGCTGTGGGCGAGGAATGGGACAATTCAGATAATGAATAGACCGAACGGTTTCTTCTTTGTGCGGTTCACAAGCAAGATGGATTACGAGCTGGCTCTTACGGGAGGCCAATGGCTGATAGGAGACAACTACATCACTACTCAGAAGTGGAAGAAGGGGTCCAACCCAAGAACTTGTCAGGTTGACTCTACCTCGATTTGGATCAGATTACCTGACCTTCCTATTGAGCTCTACCACCCTGAAGTTGTGCTACGCATAGCCAAACGAGCGGGTACACCGATCCGATTTGGTAGAGCGACCGAGCTGGGAGCTAGAGGTGTCTTCTCCAGGGCATGCATTGAGTTTGATCTAACGAAGCCCCTTCTACCAAAGTATAAGGTGGCAGGAGTGGAGTATGAGATCAAGTACGAAGGCCTAGAAAACATATGCTTCGAGTGTGGAACCTATGGACACTCCAAGGCCCACTGTCCCTCATTACACAAGTCTAATGAAGCCAACTAGGAATCTGTTGACCCTGTACAGGACCTAGGACACAAGCATGAGGAGATGTATGGGGAATGGATGATCGCTAAGAGGAGGGAACACAGACCTAATAAGAAAATAGACAATAGCAGAGTTGTAGGAAGGGGTTCCGACAACACGTTTGACAGACAAGCTAGGTGGGGTTCTCATTTTGATGTTCTTAGCCAGGAGGAGGAGAATACCGTGTCGTCGCAGCAGCGAGTGAACCCGAGCAAGGCTCACAATGATGACAGTCAGGCCGCTAATCGGAACAAGAAAACATTCCCCTCCCCACCAGTGGCCAAGATGCAACAAATTTCGGTCGAGAAACAGCCGGTGAGGCAAGAAGAGAGAAACCGAGCGAAAAAACAAAAAGACCTATTATGAGTAAGGAGGCGGCAGTGACGAAGCAATCATTCCCGGTTGCATTAAATGAAGTCGCACAAGAGGGCCCCGACAAGGGAGGAAACTCTTCCAAAACATTACAAGAGGGTGGTACCATAGCGGAGAGTCGACCAGTTGGAGCGGGGGAAAAGTGTGACATTATGGATGATACGCCTATAGCCATGCAATCCATGCACCCTCCGTTACCAAGTGGGGGAGACACCACAATGGGTGTAGTATCAGGAAATCCCACAGAGTGTGGCGTTCGGGGGAGTAACTCCGAGGAGGTGCTCCCAAGCTCCACCTAAAGAATACCTACCTACCTACCCTAACAATTCCATAGATCAGATGGATTTAAGAATTTTTACGTGGAATTGTAGGGGGGCGGGAAGCGACAGCTTCCTACGAGTATTTAAAGAATACAAGAGGAAATACCAGCCACATATGGTCGTCATTGCGGAACCAAGAATCAGTGGGGATAGAGCAACTCATGTGATTGCACAGATGGGATTAGATAAGCATCTGATTGTTGATGCAACGGGATTCTCTGGGGGCATTTGGCTAGTGTGGGACGAGTCGGTTTTACAAGTCACAGAGAAAGAGCGAACGGGACAGCTCCTCCATGTTGAAGTCCAGCAGGGTACATCTCGCTTTCTCTTCACGGCTGTTTACGGACATCCCGGCCTAGTACAAAGAAGAGCTCTTTGGAACTCGATTCGGTTGCTAGCAGAGGAAGTGGATATGGCGTAGCTATTAGCCGGAGATTTTAACTCGATGCTTAGCTCATCTGAGAAATATGGGGGGAGCTCCGTTTGATGCCAGTCGTGTCTGCGAATTTCAGGACTGTATTCTCAATCCAGCGTTGGCAGATTTGGGGTTCGTTGGAAAATCATTCACGTGGTTCCTCAGTGGTACGAAAGAGAGGCTTGACCGAGGGCTGGCAAACTTGATGTGGATCACCCAGTTTCCGAATACGACAGTACGCCACTTGTCGAGGGTTAAATCGGTTCACCGCCCCTTATTGATTAGATCTGGCCCGGTTTTTCCTCTCTTGGACCGAAACCTTTCAAATTTTTGGCATCATGGTTGACTCACAGTGGTTTTCCGGACAAGCTAAGGGCAGTGTGGGCGAAAGGGTCGGATCTGAAAAGTTTCTCCAAGTCCTTTGCTAGAGACGCCAGTCACTGGAATAAGCACACCTTTGGCCACATAATGAGACGCAAAGACCATCTAATGAGGAGGATTGAGAGTCTCGAAGAGCAATGGGGAGGGGACTCAGATTATGGAGGGTTGCTAGAACTTAGAGCCGAGCTAGAAGAGGTGCTCTTGCAACAAGAATTATTGTGGCGCCAGAAATCGAGTACAGATTGGGTAAAATGGGGGGATCAAAACACCATTTTTTTTCACACTCGCACTCTTCGCAGAAGGAAGCAAAACCATATAGTCTCACTCAAGAACTTGGATGGAGAGTGGGTGGAGGATCAAAATGAGCTAGCTAACATGGCAGGGCAATATTACATAGGTCTTTTCACATATGACAACTCCCCAACCTCGGACATGTTGAATGGCTTCCCAGCAATAGTGGCGCCGAGCTGGGAGGAGATGGGCAGGGTTTTTGAAGAGGAAGAATTGCGGAAGGCAGTCTCGGCCATGGGGCCTCTCAAAGAGCCCGACACGGATGGGCTCAATCCACTCTTTTACCAAAGGTTTTGGGACGTGGTGTCCAAGGAAGTGCTCGACTTTGCACGGCAATGCTGGGATGCGCCTCCTACTATAAGAGAACTGAACGAAACACTCCTGGTGCTCATCCCAAAGATTCAGAGACCGGTCCTCATCGAGCAGTTCCATCCGATAAGCTTATGCAATGTCGGCTATAAGATCATCACTAAGTGCTTGGCGGAGAGACTGAAGCCATTTATGCCAGACCTTGTGCATGAGACTCAGACGAGTTCTGTGCCAGGGAGACATATTACTGACAATATTTGAATTTTGCAGGAATTTGTTCATTCTATGTAGGCTTGTCAATTGAACACGAATTCCGGTAGCCCGACCAAAACCGACCCGGTTTGTGGCGATTAAAACCCGGTCAAACGGATAGTTGACGGTTTGCGGGGAATCCGTTACCTGCGACAGTCGGTTGTCGGGCGGTGGTGGGTTTCTGAATATCCGCCCCGAGAGAACCCGAAACCCGCTTCCCCTCTAATCATCCACCCTACCCTAGTCCCTAACTTATTTCGCGAAAACATCTCATCCCCTTACAAACCCTAGCGTCGTTCTAAAAAATCGAATCCCAACCCTGTCCCTTCTTCTTCTCCTCAAATCTCACAATATACTCTTCGATTGTAGAGGAAAAACGGCACAAAATCATTACATTCATTGTTTTTAAGAGCAGATACCCAATCAATCAGAGCAAACCCTTCGATTTTTTCGAATCGAGCCATTCCCGATGGTGATTACATCGCCATTTTCCCTTTATCGACTCTTCGAGTTCAATACCGTCTTCTTTTTCGCCTATAAATACCTTACTTGAGTTTTTTGCTGCAGATTGCCAGATTCTCAGAAAGCATACCACTGTAGAGAGAAGTAGTAAGCTAGCAGCTGTCTGCAATTGCAATTTCCAGTCACTGGCTCACTGCATCTGCAAGGTGAAGGAGCACAACCGTAAGTGTTCTTCTTAGCCTTTCGTCTGGGATTTGCAATATTTTTTTCAACAACTTGTCTCTTGTGTCTTGTCTAATACCTCGGGACTTTGTTGATTGATGTTAGGGTTTCTGGTGGCGGGGTTGTCATTGATCAGTAACGAAGCTTAGAAAGGTAATACTACTTGATTCTCCTAGTTCTTTCAAGTTTCAAGGAATTTAGCAGTGACTGATTGGTTTCATTGGTTTGTTTTCTCGGGTGATTGCAGGTAATTAATGGAAGGAGTTGAATTCTCCCCAGCCTTTTGGGGCCAAACGTCCACTGAAAAGTGATGTTTGGCCTCACTTTACAAGGTTTGTGGATAAAGATGGTGTAATGAAAGCACGATGCTAGTACTGTCGAAAGGTTCTTGGTGGTGACACTAGCAATGGTACCTCTCATTTGAGGAACCATAAAAAGGTGTGTGTTCAGAAACAAATTCACGATGGTAATCAGAAAAGCATTGCCACTAATTTCCTCCCTAATGGTTTGATTGGAAAGAAAGAACTGTGTACTGGTCAGTTCAATGCAGAGGTTTCAAGGAGGGAACTTGCCACTATGGTTTTCATGCACGAGTATCCACTTGGTATGGTGGATCACTTGTATTTAAAAAAATTTTGCAATTCTCTGCAACCCTTGTTCAAAGTTCCCTGTAGAAACACTTGCAAGAGTGATATTCTTTCCTTGTATGCGATTGAGAGGAAAAAGATTCAAAAAATGATTCATGGTAACAAAGGTAGAATTGTTGTCACAACTGACATGTGGACAACAAGTAATCAGAAGAGGGCTTACATGACTATAACCTCTCATTATGTTGACAACAATTGGAACCTTAAGAGCCACTTTTTAAGGTAAATTGCTTATTCAATTTGTTCTTTCTTTTATGTTTATTTGTTTAACACTTAACAGAAACTAACTTCGAGCTTCATTTGATGTTTATGTGAGTGTATGACAAGTTTCTCTATGTTCCTGCCCCCCATACAAGTGAGAAACTTGCAAGTGTTCTGTGAGAGGCCCTAATGTCATGGAATGTGGACTGTAAGTTATCCACTATAACTCTTGACAACTGTTCTACAAATGATGCCATGATTGAAAAGATTAAAAGGAAGATGGTTATGTCTGACTTTCTATTGAATGGTTCCTTCCTTGAAATGAGATGTTCGGCTCACATTCTTAACTTAATTGTTAAAGATGGGCTTGAAATTGTAAAAGATGGGATTGAAAAGATAAGGGAAAGTGTGGTGTATTGGACTACAACTCCTAGGAGACTTGAGTTCTTTGAAGAGACTGCTAGGCAAAAGAATGTTTGTATTGGAAAGAAACTTGCACTTGACTGCCCTACTAGGTGGAATTCCACCTTGCATATGCTTGAATCTGCAATTCCATACAAGGAAGTGTTCACTCGTTTGAATCAGAGAGAACCTAACTATACTTCCTTGCCTAGCAGTGATGATTGGATGTTTGCTACTGTTATTAGCAAAAAGCTTGAGGTTTTCAGAAATATTTCTGAGCTTCGTTCTGGAAGCAATTATCCTACTGCTAATATATTCTTTCGAAGGATCTGTGACTTGAAATTGAATATGCTTGAGTGGATGACTGATCCTGGTAGCATCATTTGTGAAATGGCCGAAAAAGGTGGGCCAAGTTTAGCAAATACTGGACTGATATCCATGTATTGCTCACTGTCGTTGTTGTTCTTGATCCTGCATACAAACTTGAGCTGATTCAATACTATTATGATAAGAGCAATGTCTTTGATCCTACTCTTGATCATGTGACTGTTAAGGCCACTGTTTATGATGTTGTCCGTGAGTATCAGTTGAAACAAAGGGCAGAGATGACCATTCTGCCTCCTCTGGTTCTTTTAATGATGTTAAGGCCAATTCTGGTGACCTTGACTTCGAGCTTTATTTAAGCCGAAGGAAAAGGTCCAAAAC